ACATTCCAGAATATTATGAAGTCTCAATACTCAGGCGTGCAATTCACAAAAGAATTCCATTGATAAATTCCAAAAAAATAGTTCAAAAAGTCTTTGTGACATTATTTGCATTACTAACATATTACGTCATACAAAGGGTATGTTTAATTAATCATTAAAATTGCGAAACTAAATGTATGATTTATCGAACAGAATAGTAGCATAAAATGTCAAAAATTTAAGTTGACTCCTAAAGTAGTTAGATCTATTTGTCTAGTTGGGATTATGTCGTTTACAAGTCTGCTTTTTGTACGCTATGTAGGAGATACACACTCAAATCGCCCTTTCGCTATATTACAATATTATTATAAATTATTTATTACAATGATTGGTAGATTGCTTGAGTGATTATCTTCCATATTCCCAAATATTAATTACTGCATATTTCAGGTAATTCGGGGGTAATGTTCGAGAGAAGGTTAATGTTCGATGTCCAAAGGTAGACTCATTTTATGACTTGTGTCATAACTTTGCTATGTTTGCCCTTTTAAAAAGGGCGCGCCTTATTTTAGGGCGTTTTAATACGAGCGTAAATTGGAAAATAAAAAACTGTACTTTTACAGTGTTTAGTTATGACCCGCCCAAATAAATAGAATAAAAGCATTTTCACATACTGCATTTGTTTTAAACGGTGCCTCAAAAACGAATATTTGTGATTTATAGGCCTACTGAATAACAACTGTTTAATTATTGCTAGCTATAGTGTGTAACACTTGTAAGTGTTTAATATAAACATGCTACATATTCGGAAACAAACTCACATAAATGAAGTATTGTCAATGTAAAATATTCACCAAAACAAGCGTTATTCCTGCCAAAAATTCAAAATTATGATTGCTTAAATGTAAAAGAAGTAGTTATAGTTTGATTTGCAAAACCATACGCTTTTGTAGTATAGATGTAGTAGGTATGAGTTACAGAATGTAATTGAGATTTTAATCATCAAGAGTAAAGAAAAAATATGGTTTAATAATGCCATCAAAATTGATTTAAATAACATTTTAAAATATTTCCCTTTCCTCCATACTTTTTGCACAAATTTACGGATATCTCTTAACAACCTCGATGAATGTAATTCAACAAACTTACGTTACAGATTGTTTGAAAAAGGTTACATTCATTTGTTCCTCCACCTAAAATTACCTGCAAACAGTTTTCCCCATCATATTGAGACTATAATTCGATTTTACGTTTTAATTCACATCTAAAATAAACGAACGCATTGGTAATTCACATATAGTGGAAAGTCTCACATATTAATCAGAATGCCACAAAATTGCAAGTAACTGGCAAAACTCAAACTTCGCACAATCTGGATTTCATCAACTTCTGCAACACCAACACTACGTCAGTATAATGCAGTAATTGTCTCATTAGTCAGCAATATCACCGTAACAAAAAACTGAAGTTTAAAAGTATATCATTATTAGAAAAAAAATAAAACGAGCATATTTCCACAATGATTGCAAACATGTTTTCATATCAAAGCAACCTGAGCTTTATCCTGTCCACTGAACACATTCTTGTCTATAAAGCTCATCAGCTTTCAAAAATGTTCGTTCAACTTAAAGACAACTATTCATCTGAGATGTCGAGTAGTCCTTCATCAGAGACTCGAGTGGCCAACTCAACGAGTGGTATTGTGCTGTAGTGTAAAATATTTCGGCCACATAAAACAATATTCAATTTCTCGCGGCATCTCACGAGTTACAGAGGTTATGAATAACTAGAAGTATTAATTAATATTCCAGTCACGATATTCTTTGTATATCGATGCGAACGCTTGTGTATTTGGAGTGATCGCTAATAATGCCATTCAGTCTATTGTGCTATGACGCGAAAGAGACAATATAATTTTTTGATCCGTCTAACCAACCGATAGCATACATACATACATTGGTGCCAATAAATTACCTCTTCGGCCATGCTTAGTTTTGTACTGTTCTTTTCTTGCTGTTTTCTGTACAGTCAGAGAAATATTTGAATTGGAGGAAGTTTCACAAATCGGATGTTTTCGAAAAAAAATTATTGCATATGAATTTAATTGACAACCTATATATATATAGTACGAAAGTAGCAGCTAAATTACCGGAAAGACCAAAATACTTTTTGCAGGGAACGAAATTAAAAATTATTGAAATGAATTAACATTTGTCGATGGTAAAGATTTTGCAAGCCTGAACTTAGTTTTGCACTAAACATATTAACTAGATAGCGATCGGAGACAGCCGACTTATCGATATTGCGGTTTCGATTCCTTCGATCTGACTCAATAGCGATCCCAAATCAATAGGCTTCTAGACCGAGATATGATGAATGCACATGCAAAATTTGGAGAAGAATCAACCTCGCTTCCGTGAGATATCGCGTAACATACGAAAGTGAAACAAACAAACAGACAAATACATACTTACCGATCGAGATCGATAAGAAATAACTCATTTTAGAATTCGCTGAGAAACACTTGTGGTACAACCAACGTCAACAAAGCAGCAATATTCTATTCAATGACGTATAGTCAATTACAACGGGGCAGTATATAATTATGAATTATACAAAGGGACCCGACTTTCACTGAACCTTTGTGAGCATCGACTGAATATATTCATTTCGCGACATCTTCGTATGCATTCACATTTGTCCTAAATGCTGCGGATTTATACTCCCGACTCATGAACACTATTGTACGAGAATGTGATTTTAGTCTGAACGCTCAATTCATTCAATTTATTGATGGGCTTGATTTTAAATTTTAGTCAGCCGCGAGGTGGTGGTAGATAAGAAAGAATCGATAAGAGAAGGGTTGGCGTGATCATCTTTAAAATAGGAATAATGGTTTCGGAATACCTTTGCTCTTTTTCAACATCTAGTGGTAGTTTTCAAATACAACTCATGGATATAAATTGAATCCTTCAGGTATTACCACTTCACAGAATCCCGCGTGTTCTTTTATCAGCTTCCATTTTTTCGAATATAGCCTACTTATGAAATCCTATCCCGTGAATAATACAAAGCCGAGCCCTCAGCAGAATTGCTCACCAAAACCTCCATACCAAGAATTTGCAGAAAATATATAATTCTTATGTGTTAAGCTTCTCTATAAATTTGCTAAGCTAAAAAACAGTTTTTCTTTTTCCGCGATAAATTAAAAATTATCAATGCTATCGCAGAGTTTTAGTGAAGTTATAGACAAGATCGTGTTTCATTATTTCATACGCGAGTAAGGACTAAACATAAGCAGCTTCATATTGATGAAGCAGAAGAAAAATGCATTTATTAACAAAATTATCCATTGCCTGCTGGAAGACAAAACTGCGAAGCGCTTCAGTTATTAAAGGAGGTATGGGCAGATTCTTGAATTGGGATTTAAAATGTACTTATTGAGGGTCATCTATGTCAAAATATTACCTCTTTTATCATTCAGTACGGAAAATAGAAATTAGATATAACTTATAGAACAACAATTTATATATATTCCATAACTAACTAAAAAGTCTTCGGTTGAAAGAATGAGAAAATGCAAAGGTACTGTAGCAGATAGAAAATACGTCATCTGTATCACAAGAAAATGATGTGCCAAGCCACAAAGTCAATATGGCAAGCGTGAATCATATTTGGTGAACGATATTAACATTCAAGAAATCAAAAATACAAAAGGGTCAACCTTATTTTAATATGTAATAGTGTAATAACAAAATTATGAAAAAATAATCTGAATTTGATTCCAAGTTGTGCCATTATTTAACTTTTCAAATGTATATTCTTTTTCACGTAAAAAAAGTTCATTGATATAAACTTGTTATTTACTTTGTGATATAAATTGAGCGATCTTTATTTCTGCTAGGGTGGCCGTGAATGCAAAAGCTGTACAATTGCACTGGAGGAGTAAAATTAAATAATGTCTTACAAAATTATCCATCGCATTCAGCATTCTATTTCTTACTAAAAAAAACATTTCGTTTCCTTTTATGTCCTTAAGATGGTTCAATCGAAAATTTACGAAGAAATTCAGTTTTGACAAAACTTAGGACTGATTTTAAAAATTTTGTACAAAAATGGTATGAATAAAAAATCGCACACTTGTTGCATTCAAGAATACAAAGTTGCGGTGAGATTCAGCAAGCTTTTGTATTCGTAGTTGATTTCATTGAACATTTTTCAACTTTACGCACTTTAACAATGTTTGTTATATTAACGGTATAGCATACATGGAAATTTTAATATCCAACTAGTTCATCTGGCAAAGCGTAACTAGGAAAGAGGTATTACGTTGCGGGATCGTTATGTGTACACGATTACGACATTACAAACATACTGACTTATTTACTCTACAAGATAATATTCATTTATTGTGAACACTCATGGCCCACATATATAGTAAAGCTAACTTATCATTGTCTTATACTTGGCTCAGAAGTTTTCAAACCAGCGTATTTGAGATATTATTAAATGTTAGATGGCTCTCTGGTGTCTTTGTTTTAGAATGTTTACGTGAACATGTGTGGGTGGCATCGGTACTCCACTATTGCATTAGCTTCGCCCCCATAAGCTGAGATCTTTCGAATTAGTAATTGCCTCTACTACAATCGTATTGGTAAAATATCTCAGGGTAGCCTAATTTTTAGTAGCTTATTTGAAGTCTATTTCCCTCTCAACGGTCGAATTGAGAAGATTGGGAGAGTGAGATAAGTACATAGAGAATGGAGATGATTATGTGAGTGACATAAAAAGATGAAGGATAACTCTGAAAGATGAACAGTACAAATTTAACTTTGTTGGTTTTATCCAATTTCTCTGAATGTGGTATTTCATAAAATTAGCGTCAAATCAAGGCAATATGTTTTCCCAACTCATTGCGTTTATGCGTTTTGGGACGTTTTGGGACTGTAGTGATTAATTCACAGTAAAAGCATGACAGATGACGAAATTAACGTGTACTTTGTATTCATTTAAATAGTGAAATATAAGTTAATAGTTTAATCGACAATATCATTATGGCGGTGTCCAGCGCCAGACTCCGCTTGATAACTGCAATTTTGGGAGGATTTAATTTGGTTGCGGTAATATTTGTATTTGCCGCTCCGTTCTGGAGAACAACAGCGATGCAAGCAACGATAAATGCATTCAATAACGTATGGGGATATGAAGGATTATGGATGGAATGCATGTCTTTCTACCGCCAGCAAACTCAATGCTATCAAATTGGTCAGATGTCAACTCGTCAAGCTTCCAGTAAAACTTGGGTGTCAAACTCTTATTACAAGTATGGCATCTACGGTAAGAATCATTTAAATGATCAAAATATTTTACAAGTCGACAACAAAATCGTAGCTTTTTCACGTACCAAAGTGTGCTGAAACCGTCAGATAGGCTATTTATACAAATATAAATTTCAAAGCGCTGTACAATTTATTACATACTTAAAAATGTTGTCTTGTATTAAAAATAGTTAAATAATTTATTAGTTGTTATTTTACTTCTAATTTTAATTCAGCAAGTTCATGGAAATTTAACTTACATACTTTTTAAATTGCACTGTAAAGTAGGGTTTTACATCTTATTAAACCGATTCTTTCCAAAAAGGAATATTTTCATATTGGGTTATTTTATTTTAAACTCATAATTTTAGGTCATTTCATTCAAAAATAAACAAAATTATTTCGAGTGAGTTCAAGAAAAAAATGCAATAAAGCCCAACCTAGGTGTCCAATCCGTGGCAAAAACCTATATTGTATTGCGATGTGGTCTCATGATATAACTGTATTGTTACTTAACTTGTTATCGAAGTAAGTTTTTGCCAAGCAGAGAACAGTTCCCCTAATTCATTCAAGAAAAAAATTATATGTGACGTAGATAAGGAAAACGCAGTGTAGTGTGGAAAAACAAATTCTGAGATAACAGTCGATACTGTACGATACCATTTGAAAAGGAAATCGATCAAATTTGCTTCACAAAAATCGTTCTCCAAATTTTATAAAAAAGATTATATATTAATCGGATTTTCTTATATGTATATGACTTTTACATAATAACTCCAATATATATTGCCATACTCTAGAAATATAATACAAGAAATGTGTTCAGAAATAAATTATTAACCTCAAGAATATGTTACAAGCATTTGAAATTTGATGTTTACTCATTTCGATTCGTCATTGCAATTCGAAATATATCATCTATAAAATCGTAAACATGTAAAGTAAGCTTCTGCTCTCAAATCGCATCAGTACATAAGAAGTGACTACGACATATAATACAGAAAGTGAAATTTATTAGACTTCTATTTGACAAACACGATTGTAAAGTTAGTCAGAGCTTACGTCATAAATGGGGCAAAACAAAATAAGTCGAGAGAAATATTTGACATTGAAATTAAGTGAATTGAAATTGAGTGAATTAAAATTTCGAAAATAAACAACACTCGAAATACTCAAAATTTACAATTCTGAAAGTTAATTCGCTTCTACAAAGGTATTATATATTAGTATATATTAGTAGAATAGTAATATAAATTACTTACTACTATAAACAAAACAAAAAACAAGCATTCAGCATTTGAGAAAGAATGAGCAATATTCAAATAAATTTATGTAAGTCTGATTTTGGGCCCGAAAGCGCTATCTGACGAATTTACAGTACAGAATTAAAGTATTAGTCAGGTTTCTACATCGTTATCCTTTTAAATACTGTTCAAAAGTAATTAAACTTCATTTCAGAATCTCCAATATAAACAATTTACCCTCCAATATCACGTGCTCATACATTACACTAGGTTTACTTACAGTGAAATCTTGAGCAAGTTATTCAAAAATCTGTAAATAAAATAATATTCCAAATTTTCACGTGAGTAGATCCTAAAAACTGCTCGTTCCAGTGGAATCTAAGCAAGTATGAATGAAATGCATCGATAAAATCCTTCGTAAATATACACGAGAAAAGAGAACCTCAAATCTTAGTGTACCATTTATTCTTGTGACATGGAAGTATATTTTCATAGACAGCTGATATACGAATATCATTTAAATGTTACATGAAACCTAGAATATTATGAAAATAATTCTAAACCTTTTGTCTATAAAAAGATAGTGAAACTATAATAGGTTATTCATAAAAAGGGAATATTTGAAATCAGGTTGGAACTAATTGCCGAAAGTCCAAACATATCTTGCAGTATAATTTTGTAGTATAAAAAGTCGTCGTTACTATTCACTAGCTCAAATTGACCTTTGTTTTTATGAGCTAAAACAGCCATAGTATGATCAAACTTCTACAATCCTTTAAAGTACAGTATAATTACAAATTCAAACGCATATAGGTTATGCATTAATGACACCGTGGCTAGACTTTTACCCAAGTATTAGTTTTATAAATCAAACAAAGCAGCTTTGTTTGATGTGGTGATGCTATGGATTATATTTATAGTGTATGTATCATACGACAAGTTCAAATAGCAATAGTATGTTCAAGCAAGTGAAATCCTTTAAAGTACCGAAGAATAGCAAATTTGAAGTAATAGAGTATGCATTAATTAAAGACGCCATGACAAGACTTTTGTCCAAATATTGGTTTTATAAATCCGACAAAGTCGCTTGTATGGTCAGGCTAGGCATTCCATGTTTTGTATTTCATGGCAAATTAGAATTATATATGTTTTGTATAATACAAAAAAACAAGCCGAAAGATATGAATTGATTTCTGTTTAATCATTTTCGCAGCACATCTCGACGCATATCGAGCATTTATGGCAATTGCTCTCGTTACATCAGCTATTGCCTTCTGCCTTTCGCTTGCCGGAATGAAATGCACAAGAGCATTCAGAGAAGACAGTAAAACAAAACGATGGATAAATCTTGGTGCCGGAATATGTCATATCATCGCCGGTTTGTATTAAAAAAAATATTTGGAACGAATTTAACTGTGTGCTACGTTACTTACTGAGTCTCCTGTACCCCGGATATGTTTTTATGGCCTTTTTTGAGGGCGAATATCAAATTTGCCACACTACTTATAAAATTTACATTCGTATTATTGTCAACTTACTTTTCATATCTTTCCGATGCATAACCCTGATTTGTGAAAATGAAGAATACAAAAAATATAAAATACTTGTCAACAATTGCTCTCACATCATGTTATTGTAAATTTGCCTCTTGATGATGAATCATATTTTTAATTTTATTGCGTTATGCGTTTATTGCGTTGCGTTTTATTCGTTATTAATTACTTTATTAATTATGATGGCAATACCATTTTAAAATATTTTACTCAAAGGAAAATAGACTTGATGTTGTGATCTTTGTACTCCGTAATCACCACACAACCGGGAGTCTATAGAAAGAGGTCTTGTGATTACAAAAACGCTGTCGTATACAATAAAACGTACATAGGATAGGATTTACATATTTATCCCGGGGGAGAGGAAAGCCGATAAGACGACTTATCCATATGGCGAACCACGGCCTCTCGTCTGGTTACCGTTCCAAGTCGGGTATGGGATTAGTTATATTGTTTGTTTTCGGAAGCGTGGACTTGGTGGTGGAGGAAGCCGTAACCGACCAGCGGTTACGTTAATCACCCAACGACGGCGAGGAGTCCAGCAATCCTCTCGCACATAACCATCTCTGCATGGGATTCGAACCCGCGAACCCACGCAGAGTAATTAGAGGTGCGGTGGCGAGCGTATTCCTAACGCTTAGCCCGTTGAGCCACACCGCCGCGCCTACATCACACTATCACGAATAATGTTAAAGTTTCCGCTAAATGAATTAACTTTTGTCTACTATGCAGGAGTTTTGACTGGGATTGCGGTGTCCTGGTACGCTGCCGAAGTTGTGAGAGAGTATTGGTCACCTTACTATCAGACAACGAGAGTGAAATACACGTTGGGGTCATGTTTGTTTATTGGATGGTTTTCTATGGCGTTATCCTTGGGACTGGGCTGCATATTAACTTGCTGCACGTGCTTCAATAGACCGGTGGATAAAAATTCGTATGAATGGAAGCATCCTGTTACAGGTAAATACGTATAATATATATATTAGTAAGCAATTCTGTGCAAACTTGCACAGATGGCTTCGTATATATATTTAACGAGAAAGCAACGCGGAGGACAAATGACCACGTCTAAGAACATAAAACATGTCGCATGACAATCGGTAGCCTACGGTAGGGCTGGGCACGAGATTGGCAAAATGAAACAAAGGAGACTCGCGGTCGAGTCGGTCAAGCTTGGTGCTATAAAAACAGTGTTTCCATGAATTAAAATAGAGAAATTTTGGATCATATATCGGATCTCATAGGAGGAAATTTGACAACTACTTCCAAGATTCTACACTAAAAATGTCACCCCAACAATAACAACAATTAGGCAACAATTTAGCAGAAAGATTCATATAGATATATATTATATGTCTGATTATTAATTTTGAAATTTGAGTTAAAGCGCCACACCTCTGAACAAATAATGCTATTTACTTGTTTAACATCGATTTTAATGTCTGTACTAGTAAAAGCACCTAGATTAGGTGAAGATTAACGTTGACAATAAATTAAATTTATTTTCGTCATTTGCAGAAGTTGAAATTTCTTCTCAGCCTGTTGAGGCAATGATGATGACTCCGAGTAACGACGACGACGAGTGGGATGACGGCTCCAGTAGATATTCTCACTCTCGCACACATAAGTCTCACAAATCTCACAAGAGTCATAGAAGTCATAGAAGCCATAAAAGTCACAGAAGTCACGGGAGTCACCACAATGACAAAAGATCAGAATGGGTGGATGACTATCACCCCGATCCCCATCCCAATGAGTATGACGAGAATGGTCATGTTGATGGTTTTGTATAGGCCTTTTTATATTTTTTATTATATATAAATAATACCCATACGGATTCACTACTTATCAGCAACTGTTTTGCATCAAATAAAAACGTATGAATCAGACATTTTGTTGGGAAATCTGAAGGTAATTACTATGTGGTTCTCTTGAAGGTTGTTTATCTCCAGATTTCCAAGGGTACCAACCTAACATTGTGGATTAGTTTGTTTGCCTTATTCAAGACTTGTTTGTAAAATGATTGTTTCCATTTTGTTAAATGCCATCTCTGTATTTTGTCTTTGCATCTATTGTTTCATAAATGAATACTTTTGCTCAAACACTTGGTTGTGATGATCATTAGGAATTGAACAAGTTCCATCGATGCGGAAAGCGAAACCTGCGTTGATAGGAAAACGTTTACAGACGGGAGATATCTTCAAAAAAATATTTATGCGTACTGATATTTTAAACGACAAATCATGACAAAATTGAAATGAACTGGGTGGTATTACAGACCTTGGCGACGTAGTGTTACTATGCAACATCCATCACCTGGTCGAAAAGTACAGTGGTGTATCTGGAAGTTTATTCTAATTAGGGATATTCAACAAACATATCATGTATTTTGTAGAAAATTTTTGATAATTTAATAACATGTACAATAAACATACGATATGCATAATTTGCTTTATCTAGATTTAGAACAATGATTGCACCCAAAACCTTAACAACGACGCAACAATAACATTCTACAAGCCGTTCTGTTTGAGTGTTTTAAGAGTTCTCAGTCTAATACAGCGGTTCTGAAAATGATTTTGTGGCCCAAAACAAGCAAGGGCTTCTGACTTTTTAATAATATTTCCAAAATTTAGCGTTTCCATGTATTGCGTGGCTTTCTCCGAGATAGTTTTTATTTCACCATGATGCTCTGCAGTTTATATTATTTTAGATGAATTAGCCTATTACTTGGTGAATGTGACATTAATAAACATCCAAAAACGCGTTGCTCTTCAAATTAACCCCAAGATATTTTATGAAGCATCTATGACCAAAAGTCACATTTTCAACACTAAAAATAAAATTTATGACTCATTCACCAAAATGCTCGTCATCCCTGCTATATAACAAAGTTGGACGACCAACCATAAAACAAGTCTTAGCAAAATTACCTTTTAGAAAAATGTATTAACAAGCGATACTCTTTCTCAGATACAAGCATTCCTCCCGGGTGTTATTACTTCATGCAAAAATACGTCACAACATTCACACGTGCTATTCTTTGTTGGATTTGAAATTTGATCTTCTTACTTGTATTCATAGTAGTTTTATTTGAATGTAGTCTTATATGTAAGTAAATATTGATAGGTTGAAATTCGTAGCTTATTAATCCGATTTGAATATGGCACTTTGGTGCCATAAGCACTGAAGACTTTCGTGCCCCCTCATGTGTAATTTAATTTTAAAAACAATAAACCCCATAAGTGTATTATTCATTAAAAATAATCACAACCAACAGTAAATAAAACAACTTTTACTAACATTTTTAGATTTTATACAGTATATATCGGCCGTTTACTGCCGATATGATATATCGGCAAACACGCAATATCGGGCCGATTCAAAAAGGACGGAAATTGTAATTGTAAAAATTTTAAATAAAATATGTATATAAAGTATTTTCATGCAAAAACAGTTGCTAGAATCAAGGGGTACCTACATTTTTATACTTTGCCATGTGCGCCCTTTTACCTTATAGTACAGTGAAATTTGGGCGAAATATCAAATATCATAGGAAATCTAAGAATTATGAACGTAATAGCCTTCTAGCGAAGAATACATTCTTTATCCGATGAAAATTTCGAAGTAATTGGTTCAGTTGTTAGAGAGAATGGCGATTTTTCTCAAATTTGTCAAACATAACAATACGAAAATCAATACGATACGAAAATCAAGCAAGGTTAGCAACCATGATCGAAAAGAGTGTAAAAAGTGTTTTACAGCTCATTACAAAAATCAATTACGAAAATCAATACAATACGAAAATCAAGCAAGGTTAGCAACCATGATCGAAAAGAGTGTAAAAAGTGTTTTACAGCTCATTACAATTGAATTGTTTTCAACCTATAACTTTTTATTTGTTGTTAGAGAAGTTGATGATATTGACAGTCGATGCACGTAAAACACTTTCCAAATTATTTTTGTTTAGCCACAAGAGGGCAATATAGTCATTTTGTATCCTAGCAACGCTAAGCGGGGTTGTTGTTGAGAATCCGAGGCTGTTTTTTTATTCATTTTTTGCCTCGATTGTATTTCGTAATTTGCCAGAAAACAATGAAATGACTGGGACGTTGGTTTAGCTTTAAGAATAAAAATCGTCAGTTCGCCAGTGTCATGGCAAAGTTTCTTCGTTTACTAGGAAAGGAGAAAGAACTGGTGAAAGACAAATATAAAAGCCATGAAGATGCTGAAGCAAATAGAATATTCGAATATAATAATGCTGTCGTAATTCAAAGCTGGTATCGAGGATTACGTGTGAGACATTATTTGCGACACTTGCAAAATTGTTCAATCGTTATTCAAAGAAATTGGCGTGGCTTCATGGGCCGCCGCTTCTATCGAATCTTGGTCCGCAATTTAGTCATGGTTATGAGAATGAATTTCTATAACTGCATGGCCACAAGAATTCAGAAAATCTGGCGTGGTTTTTATGTTCGAGAACATGTTCATAACTTCTATGCTAGGAAACGATATCTAGAAGCCCTGGCTATAAAGAATCAAATTGTTCGCAATGAATTGGATGAATATCAGGAACAACTAGAAACCGATCGCAAAAAACGCAAACATGACGAGTTAGAAAAGAAACTACATTATCAAGCTCGCAAGCATCATTATTTATTGAGCACTCATCAAAAACCTGGTATATACAACTCTCCTTTCTGGCCCTATCCTCATGAAATGGAATTCAGATTAAGGGCGGCACAGCCACTTGACCACAAGCAGAAAACGAAACAAGCTCAATATAAAACAAGTGTATCTTTAGACATGATTGATCCTACAGATACTACTCTCAAGCCACATCCTCCAACAAAAACTTTACCGCCAATTAGGAAAGAAAAGATTCAAGGACCCTTTAAGGATCCAGTAATTGTGTATAGGCAAAGATATAGGCCTCTAAATCCTTCGTTACGTGTTTCAACTGATTTTACATCATTACATGAAGGAAGGGAACTCATGAAAGAGGAAGAATGGAGAGACAGAGTTATTGATGTTCCTTTTCTACCATTCAGCACTAAAGAAAAACCTTATGAACCTCTTTTACATACTTCTTCCAAATTTGGTCATCTCCCATATGGCGTTGAATACTTTCGGGAAACAAACTATAATAGGAATGTCTCTACAAAAAGAATGCAAACTGTGGTTTCCCCAATTCCTGTCTTTGACAAGTTTGAACAAACATATTCTAAAGGTGCTGTAGTTCTGCAATAATGTTTCTCAACATCATCATTGTACTGTAATATTCATCTATACAGAAGTGCTAATTTTACTGATCAAAAGGGATTTCTGGATTTGGGTGCTTCGATCACTATAGCTAAATTGGATACATTAAATAATGATTACTTAAGCTATGGTTATCAGTTTTTTTTTTTAATCTTAGTGTACAATTCACTCACTTACACCTTTTCTGCGATTTCGTAAGAAATTACCAATTTGAAGTGATGTAGAATGTTCATTATAATTGTATATAAAAATATGTCTTTAACGCTTCCCAAACAGAATATATAGGTGCTTGTAAAAGAGTGATTTTTTTTAATAATACATTCGCTTGAAAATTTTTGTTGTTCCTTGTAACAGCACTGTTATATTTTATTACAACTGTGATCAGTTATGTACATTTTTGACATATCCATGTAGAATGAAATACCTGTTAAATAATGACTTCCAAAGAAAACAAGTTTCTAGTTGTTTGGCATCTACTACTAACATGCAGCAATCTCACTTTTATCACTAACCATTGATTTATGTAATACATTTAAGTTATTACCCACATTTATCCATGTAGAACTAATATTGTAATATGATAATTTGGCCAAGTATACCATATTTTGTTTGTATATACCACCCATTCTTTCTGTAATGGCACATTTTTGTATGTCTGATATAATTTCTTGATGAATGTTTTTTGAATATTTTTAGGTAATATTTCCCACATTACGATAATTAGAAATGAGTAAACCTGAAAAAAGCGGAAGCTTACATCACTTGGTCGAGGCTACTTACTTAGCTCACAAAAAAGATATTAGGGATTATGCTTCTGGTCACTTAAATCCGGATAAATTAGTAAAACTGCCCGTTAAGGATGACTTTGCTTCACATGTGCCATGGAAAAGCTCTCGAATGGTTGATGAGAAGAATGAAAATCCTTTTGCTAGAATTGCAGAGACTCGAAAAAACGCAGATCATATGTTAGTTAATAAAGTGGAATGGATGAAAAATGCACTGTTGGATTTCAGTGTAGGTACAGTGGGAACATTGCCTGAAACAAAAGGCACAAAAAAGAAAAAGATTAAGCGCAAAAAATCAAGGCAATTTCCACTACGGGGCACAAAGGCTGAAAACAAGCTCGAGTCATTGGTTTTGTCAGAAATTGCCAAGCTAATGTCGGAGCCAGATGGACCATTTGCGCTAGAACAATCAACTCCAAAGCCAGATCAGAGCACTGCCAAAGAAGAGCCAAAAACACCCGGCAGAATTCCAAGAAAGAAGTATGTCGTGCCATATGGATCCAAGTATTCGAGCACTTTGACAGAAGAGATTAAATTGCCTGAATTAATGTTGCCTGCAGTTGACGAAGCTGTGAGAGTACCTCCTTCATTAAAAGATCCACACCCTTCCATCAAACAGCAAATACATGAAATAACCGATAAAAAATTTGTCACAACACATTTTGCAGGAATTACCAGAAAAGATCGGTTTAATAAAATTCTGGATTTTGACAGAAATGTTTTACATCGATATGAGACAATGGAAAAGAATGTAAGAGACGGACACAGAGCAGCGGACCATTTGGAACAAAAACTCATTAGAAAACTACTGGAGTTAAACGACCCAAGTAAACAAGTTAATTCGCTTAATTTTGAACGATTGCAAGCTTATGGTGAAGTATGGCATGATTTATGCTTGGATTCATCAATTTTTGGTCCCATTTTATCAGAAACTAAGGATGAATATGACAGATATCTATCAGACCTTCTTGATGAAATGAAAGCAACAAATCATACCGAACTTTTGTCCTGCTTAAATGCTGCCAACGGAATGACAGGAACCAATGAAGAAGATGTTGAAACACTGCAAAATACTGTAGAAGATTTAGAAGAACAAGGTAGGCAAGGTCTTTTGAAAAATGCTGAATTACACAAAGAAATTGAGAGAGAACGTGCACTTATTGAAGAAAGAAAAAGACAACAGGAATTAGAGGAAGAAGAGAACAGGAGAAGATTATTACCCAGTAAAACTTCAAGTAAAAAAACTGTCACTATGCAAAGTACGAGACAAGCATCAGCAAAGAGAGAGAAAAACACCGAAAAAAGGTTACAAGATCTCCGTGCAGATATATGGGAAAGGTTAGACAGTATATCTGAAAAACAACATGAACTGAAGTCAGAATTTGTGCCAAAAACTTTGCATAGAAATCTACAACATGCCGTACAAGATACAGAAAATGAAATGCAAAAACTGATGCAACAAAACGAATATTTAACAAAAAACATGAGAATACAACAAGAGTCACTAGAAGCTGATTTAGCAAAATTCGACTCCCTCAGCAAAGAAAACATTAACGAGGTTTTATTAGAATTAGGTGTTTCATAATTTAAGTTTTGTGTTTATTTTAGTTTCCATTTAAAAACCGGTAATAATGATTGAGTCGTTTAGTTGAAATAAAATTAAGGTATAAGATAATGTGACTGTTCAAATTTTAATCAAAATTTGTAACTCAGAGATATCATTGAAACTTCAGTTTTTTTTTAGAAGATAAAATAAGAATAGCACACTGCAGCGTAGTAAATTGCTTTTTTTTCGATTTCCATAAACTCAAACAAAAACATAAATTATATGCACTGCCGAACGGGAAGTGAATTTTCCACCTTTTTATATAATTCTTTCTATGCCAATGTACAACCGATTAGTTGAACTTGAATAACTATACACGTCTATTCTATCAGAATGTTTGAAAATAACATACAACTGGACTATCGATGTGTGTCATACAGTGTATTTATTTATCTCAGTTCAATTCATTGCATAAGGAGTAGAAAAAATAATGTTGATCGATAAACCAGTATTTCACACACCATTTCATTTGAATATAAAACAATGCTTTGTGAGAATTGTGGCTTCAAAAGACAACACATTAAAAGTACCTGATTCAAATTAATATGCCATTTCAAACAGTTATAAATAATATACATCTCCGATCACCGCTACTTATATAGTTTCTATATTTTGTAATTTTGCCAATAACAATATAGAAATTGTTAATACATCATGCTCATTACTTTTCCATATGACATCATAAAGAAACTACTACTACATTTCGCAGGGGTTTACATAAGTTTTAGTCAAGGCCACCTCCATAACTTCAAATTTTTATGCCACGCTTCAGCACAAAAGTGATGTCACTCTGTTTTTTGCTTTTCCTCATCACCTTTTTTCATTCTCAACCATTTGATAGCAGCAATGAATGAGCCTAGCAATGGCAGACTGATGGGTAGGAATAAAGGAATATAAATTGCAAATTTTTGATCTTCTGGAAAATACAGCAGCTCAAGCAATGTTGGATCAAAAAATGCTGTTTCTGATGCTTTGAAGGCAATATTGGATATATTTAACGCCCTTTGATCATCTGATTCATCTAGTGAAGCTTTTGCTTTCTTTATTGCATCAACAGCAGTGTAAATATGACCTGCTATTTCATCATTGATAACAATGTTGTGAATTTTCCCTAGGAGTTCTGAGAGTGTATGAATAGCATGTACCGACGTAGCAATATTTTCAAAAGTTCTTTTTCGCACCAAATAACTCAATTCCAAATCACTTATGCCAGCAATTCCCCTGTCTGCAACAGTTATTTCAAAGTCATCATTGGGCGTTTTAGTCATCTCAAGACCAAGTAAAGATCTTAGTTGTGCCACGAACACTTGCATGATTTCAACACTGTCTAGTTCAACAACATGAGGAAAGATAGTATCGTTGCTTTTTGGTGCATTTTTGATCATGATGGAGCCCCATCTCGGAACAAGAAATGTGTTGGTAGTTGAATAACTCTCGTCAGCATGTTGAATATAAAGAGGATTGTAGTTATCTGAAGGAGAGCATGAGGTTTATTAAAAATAAATCAAAGAAATAAAATGGGGTTTTAAAGATCGCAATCACCCCTATGCTGTCACATTAGAAAGAATTTCTATGAATTTGAATCACTGCTAAGCAGTGTTAACTCTAAGCGAATTATGAGTGCGAAAGTGCTTCGCAGTCGAAAAAAAAAAGTGCGAAAGTGCTTTTGCCGATTTTAACAAGTTAGGTGCTCTAGCCCTTCATATTACCCATTTAACACGGCATAGATACTCGAAAAAGCGCTCCTCCGGTTAATATTATGAATTAAAGAGAAGCCTTTCCGTTAACGGAGTTCCCTTTAAGCGAATTCACGTTTAATTAAAACAAGCGAATTCATGGGCAACGAAAAGACATCTGCTAACACTTGCCGCGCAAAAACTTTCATGCAATGTATCACGGTGTCAGTTGCTTACTCGCGTGAACAGCAAAGGCTTTCACATTTGTTACTCCTTCCATCTAACAGACAACGATTGATACACGTAGGAAACCATATTAGTTACAGGGTGGATCATTTGTACAAATCCCGTGCAAAATAATCCCCCCCCCCAAATATAAATAGCAATCAACTAATTAGGGTTAGGTGCGCTGGAAATTCAACTTTTCGATTTATCCCTAAACCTAATCTGATAATTATTAATTTGTGATTTTGAACCACTTTGAAAGTCGCCACCCGCTGTTTTAAAAGATAGGTTAACCTACGTTCCCTCCGAAATATTACAGGATACTCCCCTGTTTTAGGAGATAGGTTGACCTACTTTCCTTTAAACTTTTTTCTCCGAAATATTACACAAGATCACTTTGAAAATCCTCCCTTCGTGAGCTAGCGTGACCTAATTTCTCATTTACATTTATATTATACTATTTCAGAGCTTACCCAAAGACAAGTAATTTTTAAATGTCGACATGCCTTGGTTTGCGTGCGAGTTAGTTTAAATCAGGCAGAAAACATCATATATGGCAAAATGTTTAGTAATGTCATGTACTTTCAGCATTCATAAATAGCACTCTTTGTAATGCTGCTGACCTAGTATCAAATATTCGCATCACAACGCCACTTGCGAGGTTTCCATATATTTCAATTACACTAATAGGAACGATGACACCAAAGATTTCTTTTGCGAAGGTACACGAAATATAACGAGGGTGATTCTTGAAAAAACATGAATATAAAAAATAAACGAATGATATGATAGTGGATCCCAAATAATTTTGAGAGTGTCTCGAAATACCAATCCATTTGATAAATAATTTTTATTCGACCACATGAACGCTGATATACGCATTCTCAGATATCGGACATCCAGTCGCGATATTCAATCGTTCATATGCACAAATCTCACATTAATAGTAATTGCTACCCACGTTTGTAAAGTTTAGAAACCAACAAACAGAAAATAACTTATCCTAAAACACAATTAAAACTCAGTCGGCAATAAATTCGTCGCCAAGACGATGCCATACAAAACAAAAAAGATTTGGTCGCGAGAGTTACGTTAGATGACTGCAAAACCACGTTGTTTTTTAAGCAGAATGTAAAACAATCAAATTAAAAAACGGGAGTTACGACGCCCTTAACACATCGTGTGTATTAAACTTCCCTGGTAAGTACTATTATTATTGTACTTATACACCTGTTGGAGTATTTCGGACAATTTCGAATTTAAAATTAATGAAAACCCGACATATAATAAAGACGCAAAAGTAAAATGAACATTTATTGAAAAAGTTATTATTTAAGAAAGACAACATGATCGTACAATTCCGCCAAACCTCGATGTTCGCAAGTGAGATGATAAATAAATACTTCCCTGTATTCGATCAATTAACTTTAGCGTATCGTTGTTCTGCCAACAAACAGCCGGGTGCAAAATATTTCCGTCCTGTGATATGCTCACAAATATTCTCGATATTAATATCATACCCTCGCGTATGTACTTTCTATTAGCTCTTTAGTGATCCCTTCCATCCTTGGCCAAGTCATGTTTCGAATATGTGAACATTTTATTCGACCATACATGGCCGGCGGGATGTTAAAATTGTAAACAAGAGAGAGTCGCAACAATCGCGAATTTCGTTTTGTTGCGCCTGTTATCGTCGAAAATGATTACATTTGTTGTATTTTGAGGCATTTAAGCAGTAATAATTAGGGCATGACATCATCAAAATCGTCAAGTGAGATTTGAAATTGCAAATTCCGTAAATAAAATTGTGAATTACTCGGTAACGAATTCAGCTTCAATGACCGTCGGGGTATTGTTTTGTTGAAAATTATAATTAATGTGAGAGCGCCAAAAACATACAGTCCATACCGATGCGACTGCAATTTATATGGCCGCACTTGGTGTGGCGCGTTTATTAATAGTGTAAATAAATTAAACGAATATCAATTATAACCAAGCCTGTCAGCGTGTTTATTTTCTGTGGGCAAGAATCGTAAAATACCATCTTGAGACAAATTCACTTCTATTATAAAATCTAATTTTCAGTTATTATCGTTATACAAATAACGTGTGGCAACTTTTTAATTATCGTCGACCAAAAAACCGCCCCACACTCGTCCAAACGTGTGTCAAGCTTGACCGACAGGAACAGATTCATCGACGACTTTAATTAGGGAAAATATGTATTTTGTTGGGAATGCAAAATAAATGTAACAAAACGCATTTTTTTGTGATAAAACTTGTACTTTTGTATGTATTTTCGGAAACGGATTGCCGTGAAAGGTAAAATTTGATCTAAATTAATCGCAAAAATGTTTTATTTTAAATGTAACAAAACACATTTTGCGATATAACCTTGTATTTTCGAAAACGGGTGTCCTGAAAAATAAAATATGATCTAAATTAATCGCAAAAATGTTTTATTTTAAATGTGAAAAATAAAATATGATCTAAATTAATCGCAAAAATGTTTTATTTTAAATGTAACAAAACACATTTTTCGCAATACAACTGTATTTTCGGATACCGGGTGTCATGAAGAGTAAAATATGATCTGAATTAACCGTAAATAATGTTTCATTCCAAATGTATCAAAACGCATTTTTTGCGATATAATTTTGTATTTTCGAAAACGGGGCGTCATGAAATATATTAATCTAATTTTATCTAAGTCTAACTAACGTCTGGTACACATCATTTTCGGGGAGAACTCTAGCCCGCGAAACGTCATTTAATTTAAATAGAGAATTTCCACGCATTCCAAAACGGAAAATCACCAGTAAGTCGACAGGGATTCAACCCTACGGATTCAGTATTCTATATCCCTCCCCGTGTCAGAAATTTCTGAAGATTGGAACAAAGAACCCGTCAAACCGCCGCGGAAGAAGGGGAGTATTTTTTGCACTAATAATTAGGGCGTGACATTATAATATCGTCAAGAAACTGGTGAATTTTCAAATTCCATAAATAAAATTGTGAATTGCTCGGTAACATTTTAGCATAATTATCGCCGGGGTATTGTTTTGTTGAAAACATGTTGAAACTTGAGGGAATTAGTTACAATTAGCGCCTGACCTCTATTAGGCACTCGAGCACTCGAAAAAAAAAGCACTCGAGTCCAATCTTTTAGCATTAAGTCGCATACGTAAAATATCCTGTAAAAGAAGTGCTGTTCATTAACATCTCGTCTATGACCACGCAGAAATGCCTTTATTGCCGAATTATTCAATCACTATTTTAAATCAACATTCAGGATTGGCACAATTTCAGATTTGCGAAGTTTATCACCATAGAAAAACATGAGAAAGTTAATTATCGTCTTAATAAATATCAGCATCACGGTATCGACAATAATATTACCATTCGCATAAAATTGGGACTGTAAATTTACAAATCTTGATAGGTAATATTAAAGCCAACGCAAATGTTAATTTGAGTCCTCAATGTCTTCAACAGCTGTTGCCGATGTGAACAAACGGGTAAACCCGAAATATAAAACTTCGATGTCCGCCGACCGCAAGAATTCATATTTGTAAAAAAGAGAGGGCGGGAATATAGATTAACAAAACCTGGATATCGCCGCCAAAACGATCGGTGACAAGAACAATTAGCGATTACAACGGAATTAACCAGTAAAAAGGCTTTGTTGCCGATTTTTTAATGTTTCAACCGACGTTCCAAAAATATTTGTTATTCGGTACTCGTTAAAAATATTCAATTCAATAAAATATTGAATTTTGCCCACCCGTACTCGCATATCAATGAGAAATAGTTGTGTAAATATCGCAAAATGCCACGTGCTTTCAACATTGTGATTACAATAAAATGGCACTTAATGGTATTTTGTGAATTTGGTGATTTTGCAAATCTGTGACATGCTGCTAAAAGTTTCGTCTGATTTGAAAATCGTGCACTTTGGTCACAATACATCCAAAGTGACTATAACGCTTTACTAACACTTTTATAGTCATTTTGAATTCAACGATATCATTGATAGTCACATGACCACTTTTGTTCAAAGAAAGGCACTGGTAGTATTCCAACATCTGGTTTCAAAGACGCCGAGCGTTTTTGCGGGAGAAGCGGAATCGGTGTGCTTGTATAATAATCATATTATAAACAAGAATTTTGCGGTTAATGCAAAAGCTTTATCTCCTATGTCTGCATCTCATAGGTTAGAATTCCGGTAAATATCGTTATGATATGCAGAATTGAGTTACAAAAGTACTAGTATGATACTTATTTGTCAACTTAATACTCGAAAATATTTGTTAACTTTGAATTTTTATTCCATTCAAAATCGGAAAAAAGTGCTATTTCTCTTCAAAATCGGAAAAAAGTGCTATTTCGCAGTCCCTAAAAAAAGTTGCGAAAGTGCTTCGCAATTTTCGCAAAAAAGTGCGCTAATAGTGAACACTGCTGCTAAGTGTCATTTATCTCGTCTTTAATAATAACATCAACAAACCAATCTATATTCTTAATTGTTTTTATTTGAAAAAATATCAACTCGGTATAAGACGATTGAAAATTTTCACAATTGTAATCTCACTGCATTTGTAACAATACAACAAATCATGAATCAAAATTTTTTTTTGTAGATGCTACGTTTATATTTTTAGATAGGACTAAAAATTAAAATGCCAAGTAGATAGATTTCCTAAGTATGTAGCAGGTCTATGACATCCAACTTCAGTCTGACCAAAAAAATCTTATTCAAAAACTTTATTTAATTAATAATTATACAATACATAATTCTCTCTTTTCAATATTTTTTCAGCAGTTCATGCATAATCTAGTTATAATTTGGCAAAAAATCATAGTGTAGGTTTAGTATCATCAGTTTAATAAGAATCATGCCACTGTAAATCAACCCCAAATTATTTATCTCGACTTACCTTCTGACATGTAAACAACAAAATTCAAAGTTGGGTTTGGAGATATTTGAGCACCAAGCCTTGATTCGATTGGATTCACAACATGAGATAGCTGTTCATGCGTTAGATAAAATTGCTTGATATTATCAAGAGTTTTGGACTTTGGCTTCACAGACAATCCAGAATAGTAGAGAATCTAAATTGTAAAATTTAGGCATACGGTGCAAGTATTTGGACTATTTGAAGTATGGGTTGCCGTCAGAACATATTGCTTTGATCAACGGAGTTCACTAAATGGAGATCTAGTTTAGGGGTTCTCAACCAGGGGTAAAAATTTCAAGCAAAAAAGTACCTAAATTTCCTAATTACTTCTATGAAAATGCAGATTTATTTAACACTTTCGTCTGTGTCTGATTGTACCTAAAAGTTTTAGTAATAACGAATAAATGTCTAATTTCACACTTTATGTACTGCAGATTAAAATTTAGATTCTAGAGTTACAGAAAAAATTATCAAGAAAATTATTCAACAAAGTTATGTTACTTGAGAACCAATGTGAAATTCTGCAAAGTTTCCCAACTTCTTAATCATAGGTTTAAGATACATGTCAACTGCTTCTTCCATATTCCAAGTTGCTTGCAGTTTATCTGGTTCTGGACATAACAATGAAAAAACAATGTCATATCCTTTGTCTGGTTGTACAGTCTTCCTCATGTGAAACTCTCTGTCCTGAAGGTGAAATAAAGAACAAATAAAACAAAATTCTCAATACACCAAATTTTCCCCAATGTCTATCAAATAAATTTATCAAGATGTCTAATTAAACGATATTATTACTCCGACCATGTCGCGAGCTTAAGTTCAGTGTCCTTTTTTATTAATTTTTCAAAAAAAAGTTCCTCAAGATAGTGGTTGGTAGGGAGGTAGGTGACTATTGTTGGATTGGATTGATCAATCTTACAATACTCCTTAATTTTTACAAAACTAGTTAGGAAATTGAAGATAATGAATGCTGTCATCATTGCAAAGTCTGAAAGTGGTAAACCACCTTCTTTTTGACATCCTCAAAAACCTGAAAACTCAAGAAACCAGAGCTCATCAGAAACTTTTCAATAGAGCTGAATCTATTTATATCGATTTTCAGCAAAACTTATCAACCTATTTGGAATAAGGATAAATACAGAAATAGCCTATTTCTGTATTTATCCTTATTCCTGTATCCATTATACCGTATCAAATTGAAATAGGATGAGGAAGATAGGTATCTGCGATTATTGTAAATACTGAAATAAAGACAGTACTGCAGTATGCTACATATTAATGTTCTAAAGATCTAATTCTCACCTTTGAAAATTGCATGTTTGCACCATATGCTTTTCCCACTGCATCATTGAGAGCTTCAGCATTTACAATGTTTTCATTAATTATTTTCATCAATCCTTTTGAATTACTACGTATTTCCAGGCTTTTATATTCAATGAGAAGTATTCGGTTCCCTTGAAATGTTACCTTGGCATTTTCAACATCACTTGAAATTTCGAATACCAGGGTTATGTCGTTTTTATATATTGAACTTATTTCAATTGCATTATTTTGGTGTTTAATATTTAGAATATCTTTTTGTGTGAGCACAACTGTGTCAAATTCATAATTAATTTGAACAAATTCGAGATCCAACGACCCTACAAAGTTATTCTTGATGTCTTCGTTTAGCTGCTCGGAAATAGATGCGATTGTTACAATGATTTTGGTGGAGATTTTTGAGTTTGTTACCAGATCACTTATTTCCGAGTAAGGAATGTCTGCTCGATAGACTTCTGTTGTCTTCCACCAAATAGGAATTCCAAAACAGAGAAAGACAAATCCCATGCATAAAGCTGCCTGCACTTGAGACCGCCTGTCATTCAGACTCTCCATAGCCTATTACAGTACCGTAATGCCGGAAAGCAGTGTCGTTCTGGTGCGGGAGAAGCTCGCACGTTTAGACGTCGCGCGTTCCCGAATACGACAGAACTACGATTGCCAATTTGTTTTTAAACGAATCCCACGCGGAATATCTTTTTTTAAATCTCGATACAACAATTTGTTTTTATTTTTACATTATCAGTATTATTGTAGAAAAAAAATTAACAAATAAATTACATAAATTTTCAGGGACAGGGTAATATCTCAAAATTCCCGAGTATATTTTATACTCATGGTGTTTATATTTGATTTTAGACGTGCGTGATGTAACAGCATATATAAAAAAAATGCTGACTCTCTCCAGAATCATATTATTTTTACTATTATTTTCAAGTGTCCCAAGTTTAAATTTAATTATAATTCAAAACCTTGGATTTATGTGCTTGCGATAGTTTTTCATTTTTTTTTGTCCTACTCGAAATATGCTAGATGGTTAATTCATTCATTTATCACTATTAGGCCGCGAGCCGAGGCCCTGAAAAACGCCTAGAAGTGAGTTTCGTAGCGCACATCAGGTAACTACCTGAAAATGATTTTAAAATGTTCCTTACAAATTTAGTAACAAATATTGCCTTGTTCCCACTTCCAAAAGTTGCACGTTTTACGAAAAGACGCTTTTACTACAAGAAATATGTGCTACGATCTGTCTTATATTCTCTACATTTTCGGCAATGAACAATGACTTCTGCATGACGTAACAATTGAATCGAATCAGCTGTTAGCGAGCGGATGAACATTAGTTATTACTGCTCGACCTTGCGTTGAGTTGGGCAGCTTTCCATAGCCCTGTTTAGTTATTATTAGTTAAGTAAGTTATTAAACACTTGTAGATCCTTACCACGGATATGGGCCGTGAGACGAAGCCTTGAAAACACCTAGAAAATGAGTTTCGTAGCGCACATCTGGTAACTAAATAAATTCTTCAGTTTTGTGTGAAAATGAACATACTGAACGCATAACAGCTTGTTCCACAAACCTGATGCAAAATTGAATATAAGAGGTTCCCGGAAATTCGATAACCATAAGTTCACAACACATACATAAGAACTATGCAATTCGAGAGCCCTACAGCACACTAACACAAATGTATTCCTGTAATGTTTTTCCTGACCAAAATCGGACTTCCTCAGTCAATCATAATTTACTAGGTAGATTACGAAAAATATGGCATACATGTAACCAACAACAAAAAATACTTTAATTGTGTGACAGGAGTGACTTCGAAAGCAGCGACACCAACAACGCTGATTCACATTAGCGAATAAATTTTATGTAATAACCACAAGCAGTTTACAACAAGAACAGCATAAAAAGCTACATCCATTTTATAGAAGTTAACAAACGTATTTATTTTTAAGCAATGAAATCACAAATTATCATCGTGTGCACAAAAAAACAAATAAATCAGTTATTTCTCACTTAGAAATTTACCGGAAAAGTCAAGAAAACTAAATGAATGTACAATATGTACATTACATAGTGAACAGAAATATTACAATTGGTCTTTTTTTAGTTTATGTGGTTATGTATTTGAACAAAGGCAATATTATTTCTAGAAACAGGACTACGACACTAACAAATGTTCGAAAAAAAATCAAATAAATGATACTTATTAAATCAACTGCAATATTTAATTCACTTTTTTCTGAATTGTTTTTAAAATCCACTATCTCGAAAATCGACTTTTCCTCTATAAGTGTACTGTGATTTTGCAGTCAATACAAAAACAAAAATCTGTGCAATTTACCGGTAAGTTGATTTTGGCACACTTGCATAAATTATTTTGACTATTTTTCTTACACTTGCAGTTTGCCAACCCAAGAACTGATTTGAGGGTCACATGCTTCTTCAGTGAATCATTGTTTGGTATAATCCTCATGTTTGCCAGTGTTAAATAGACGTGCCCTGGTATCATTTACATTCTTCATATCATCTTCATACAGTGAACAAACAAATTTCTCAGCTTTATTTATTATTGCCTCATTACCTCAAAAGATCTTCATAGTTGAGAAAAAAATGAATTGAAAACCTCAATGAAGTCTCCAACATGAGTTTGATGGGCAGTTCCAATTGCAGAAAAGTGCTAAAGTATTTGAATATGAATAGCCCATCTAAGCTGTTTGCAACTATTATGATTCTCATATACCTTCACGCTTCAATACTTAGTTTAATCCATTTTATAGCACTGATAGCAGCAGGGATGAGAGCCTGCGTTAGGTCGGATTGGTGGAACATTGCCGTCTTCTTTTGTAGTACAGTATCTAAAATGAGGAAGAAAATCATATTTGGAACAGCATGAGTGTAAAAATACCACTAAATACTAACTAATACCTTGAATACATAATGCATTTTATCTGATGTACTCAATGAGCGTATATATGCTCATTGCATGTACTACAGTCCAGCAGTGTTCGCATACCATTACTAGACTATATCTACACTAAATTTTGATATATCACAGTCTGAAATGCCCTATGACAGTATGAGTATGGACTATAGTCTATAGGCCTAGACTATATATTAAAACATCAACTGTCTGTCTACAACTTGATTTCTCACCTCTCAATCGTTTCCAATGCTACTTTTCTTTTTTTTTGCACGGAGTAATTGTAATGTAATTGAAATATTCAAGGGAGTAATTGTAATTGAACTGAATTACTGTAATTGATCCAACTGCTTCCACACCACTTAGGCTATATCTATTGCGTAATCGCATGAACAGCCGAACTTTCTAAAGAACAAAATCCACATCAGGCTCTAAATTCCCAACTTGAATATAATTTGCATAATCAGAAAGTGTCGCATATACATCCATATGCGGAGCACTGGGTACTAAATAGTCGAAAAACAGGCCACAACAACAGATGCAACACGAAGGAAGTTTGGAAGCATAAATGCCAAGATGGCGGCGATCAAATGGTCCCGCGCTGAGACAACGCAAAGCGAGAGAGAAGATCGTCTGAAATTGTTCGAAGTCTGAAAATTGTGACTCCGCTCATCTCTGACTCTGGGTAAGTCCAGTTGTCTCTGAACCTTTTTCGTTTAGTCGAGTTGTCCGTGTAGTGTAGTCGAGTAGTTCGTCATCCTATGCGACTACCGGTAAGTTACCGCGTATGATTTTCGGGGAGTTGATGATAAAATGTTTAGTTTTGCCCTCCGTGTCCACATATTTGAGCATAGATATCTTGTTATAATTTAATGGTGCTTATAAATTCCGTAGTCTTGTGCACCAAGACTATGATATTTTGATTTATATTGAAATGCTTCTTACCGTCATGATGACATATCGTTATATTCTATGACATATTATATAATACTGGGATTTGTTAGCAAATTGGTAATATTCACGGGGGAAATATTCGGTTCTTTGCAATGCTTAATAAAAATTATCTTGAGACATCATATCAGAGACAAAATATCATGATATGTTCGACGGTTTCGCTTTCCGAGCAAATGTCGCAAATTCCATTGTCGTGGCAGCCAAATTAGTGCAGATGATAGCCTGTTTGTAGCTTGAACATGATTATTTCATCATATCTTCAAGATAATTTAAAGCTAATGTGATCTTTAATTGACGGAAAGAATAATTGAAAATGTTGAGCTCTTTCTACTGTGATATAGTAAGTATTTCAATCCATGTCACAATTTGCTTTGTTTTTCGAAAGTTTGATCCACGCAAAATCTACGAAACTATTTTGCATCCAGGGAGAAGATAGAATAGTTTTAATTGTATAAATTAGTATATGACCAACAGAAAAATTCTTTTCATCGCTGTCAAATCCCAAACAATCAAGTAAAATTAAAACATGTCACGTTCGGAGCAAAACTATCCAAAGCAATGCCCTAACCGCAGCAAATGTTTCTTTGTGAAACATCGTGCTTCAAAATATAAAATAAAGAACCACATCTCGTTTCCGTCGTTGATCCATTCGTATAAATTAATAAGTACTGCTTGTAATTCTCGGAAATATATTCATCACATGCTTGTTTACCTATAGGTAAGAGATTTGTTTTTGATATCATTTTAGCAAGCGATAAAATATTTGGAAATTCCATTTCCCACGGTGTTGACTGAAGAGCTGGTACTCAATTAAAACATCCGCTGTTGTTAGCTTGTTACAGGTTTTAAAAATGGGTGATTTTGGATAAAGCTCGCGCCATGTTTGTTCTATTATGTTGGTGTGCGGATATGGCGTATTCGATAATATTTTGCTCTTATACTTCATGCAAATAATATACCTCTATTTCGTATTCAATTATTTAACGTACTAGGACTCTGTATAAATTAAAGCCAGGGTTCTTTAGAAGCTCCCCATGTATAGTGCCCGTAAAAAATCTCAACAAATTTAATCTTTTATCAGATTTGTGTGTTACATGTTCCACATGAGCTTTGTACGTCAACTTATTGTCGAATATAACGCCAAGATATTTGTATTCAATTTAACCGGTAATCCTGTCCATCGATGCAGAGATGTATTGGTGGAGACTTGGTCTCGAAAATGATACGGCACACGATTTTGTCATCGAGATGTTAAATCCACACTCACGACTAACTGATTTGATTTGGTGTCGTTTGCAAGTCCGGTATAAGTTCGTTGATTTTTGAACTAATGGCACAATCATCAGCGAATGTTCTGGGTATCAAAAAATTATTATTTCGAAGATCGTTTATCATAATTGTAAATAGTAATGAACTTATCACGTTTCTTTGAACAATACCATTTTCCATTTGAAAATTGTTAAAATACGTAGATTCAACACGTACCTGGAACAACCAGTTTGATAAAAAGGGCTTTATTCAAGATAAGACCCTTTATACCAGGCTTGGGCAAGTTGCGACCCGCGGGCACAACCAGCCCGCTGCAACTTTTTATCCGGCCCGCGAGCATGCTAAATTTAGACACTTTCTTTTTTATTTACTTATAAAATAGACTTTAACTGTGATCAAACGGAATTTTTACGAAAGTCGGTATTAACGTTCGACTGATTTTTTTTTAAATTGCTGATTGTTTTTGTCAGCTCGAGGTGACTCCT